ATATGTCAGAAACATTCTTATAAACCATGTCGCAATCTTTGTCCATAACTTTATGGTTGCAATGAAAACCAAGGAATTCATAATTTACTTTACGTATGAACTTCTTTATTTCTACTGAGTCAGTTGTTTTGACTTCAATTTCGTCGAATTCAGGAATAGTTAGTTTTTGTTGTTGGATTTCAGGCAATTTGGGTAAATGGTCAATAATGTCCTGCATTTCATAAAGATACTGTTCATTTGTTTCATCTTTCGCACTACAGTCTAAATTACTTGTTAAAAGTTCTTGCTTTATCTTCTGGATTTTTGTTTCGAAAGTATATGAAGAAGGAATGAAGCTTTTCATCTCTACTAACATAGATGTTGGATTCATGACTAAAGAGTTTGGTGAAGTTGTTGTTTGAATTGTTGTTGTGCCGATTGTTGAAATCATATCTTTTATACAAAATAAAAATTTTTCTTAGAAAAAAATTAGCGTTATTTTTCTTTCATAAGGAAATGTCAAAAATTCATGATTTTCGAGAGTTTTAGACCATGTTAGAAAAGTGGTTAGAAAACGTGTTAGATCTAACATTCTAACATAAACATTATTTTTGGTGTAAATTTATGAAAACATTAATAATACATGACTGTTCTCATTCATGTCTGATTTACATCTAATGAAAAAGTTTAGAAGAATTTTCTTATTCTTTCTGGCATATTTTTGTCTTTCCAGTACTCCCGCTCTAATGGTCCCAGATGTGTTGGCTTTGACTCTCTCAAGTTCTTAGATGGTATAACATCTTCAACACCTCCTTCATATCTTACTTTATAAGTGTCATCGTTTATGTTGTAGTCAAGTATTTCAATAACCACTCCTCGCTTTGCTTCGTCAATGGTTTCAGCAAGTTTGCCATTACTACTTTCAACTAATTTATGACGAGGATAAAACGCAATAGAGTCGTCGGCAGCTTTTATAAGATATCCATTACCTTGCGTAGAGTCTACGATATAATAATTTCGACTTAACCTTAAACGTTTCTTTGTCAACGGTTTGTCGTCAAGAACTACACGAACTTTTGTACCAGGAATGAGGGTAAATTGTGTTGAATTTCTGATATTTTGTGTTTGGCTTCGTTTCTTTTGTATATACTTTTCTTCTTGTTGTTGTGTCATTGAATTTGGTGTATGTCCTGTTGTAGAATGTGTTGAGGAATTATATACTTCGAGAAAATGTTTCATTGTTTCTTCGGTAAAGTCTCGCTCTTGATTTAAATCTCTGAGCGTTCTTATGAAGCGGTTTATGATGCCGAGTATGTTATGGTTATGGTCTTCAGTAGTGTAGTGAGTTATGTTATGCTTAATGAGAAATTCTGTGATTTCATTGCTGAGGTATGCACTGTCTTGGTCTGATGTTAAAGTACTTGGGCTATGTTCTGCTACAAACTTTTGTAAAACTCTTAACACTTCACGAGTTCCTTTATTTTTCATTGGATATGCATATGCTTTACGAGTGTTAACATTAATGAAGATGAGGAATGGTTTATGTCCTCCTTTTCTGCTTTGAATGAGAGTGTCAAATTGGTATGCGTCAGGAGTGTTGGAGTAAATTGGTAAAAAGTAGTCGTAAGGGTTTATTTTTGTTTGATGTACAACATTTTTGTCAAAGAACCTTTTCACTTCAGCTCTGTTAGTAAATCCCCAACTCTTTGCAGCTTCATTGAATTTCTTAAATGACCTCCATGGATGTTGTTCGAATACTTCTTTCAAGCTCATTTATGTAAAGTTAAAGATTTTATTCAAGACGGTAAGCCCGCAAAGCAGGCTCAAGCGCGTTCATTGAACGCGGTACCATGCAAATACAGTCACAAATGGTGGCATGTAATCTTTACCCGAGCCTGTTGGATTTGTTGTGAAAGTGTGTGAATGATTTCCTGTGGTTCCACAGAAAATACCTGTGCTTAAATCTACTGGGTCACTTGAAATATCATATCTATGCATTCCCTGTCTATCCGAACCTGCTGCAAGATTTGTATAACCTCTTTTTGTTATTGAATGTGAATGACTACCTGTTGTGTTTGTAGTTCCTGTATGAGTGTGCGGTGGAAGGTTTGCTTCTTTAATTTTCTTCGAACCACCTGTTTGCTTTGAAGAGTTCGCACAGTATAAGAATTTATCTACAATCTGCTCCCACGTACCGAAACCCAGAACTGTTGCTGGATTTATTGAGTTCATTGACGTATAAATAGAGCCTGCAGGATATAATGTTTGAAGTATTTCAGTCTTTAATGTTTGAAGCTCTGTTTTGTCAGCCTTCTTGTCATATAAATCTTGAGCAGTGAATTTAATATTATATTCATCCTTCATGACATAAACATCTTTACATCTAATGTTTCTCATCGTCGTTATGTCGTCATCCGATGTTAAACCTTGTGGAAAGTTAGGAGGTTTACAATATAATGCATCCCCACCAGTTTCTTCAACCGTTCCTTCAATACTTTCTATAGCAACAGTTGTAAAACTTGTATGTGTATGGTTCTTGTCAGCTTTACTGTCTAACATTGCTGGTAGTTCATGGGTTTCAAAGTTTCTGGCATGACCTTCAATGTTCATACATTTACTATTTAAGGAGTTTAGTGTATCTTTTACGCTTGTACTTGGATTCTCTAAAGGTGCACTTGAACCAAGGGTATAGTTCAATATTATGTCGTCTGCTCTAACAGTAGTGAAGAATTTATGTGTATGGTTCTTGTCGGCTTTACTGTCTAATGTAGCTTGAAGTTCATTTATATCGGAGATGTTGTGTTTATGAGATTTCAAAACTTTGTTCATTGCTTCGAGTTCAACTTTGTCAGCTTTACTTTTAATAGCATCTTCAAACGTTATTTTTGACTTAACTCTCAAAGTAAATCTTGGTTCAACTAATACACCTTTAACAGAGAAAGTAGAGGCATAAATTTCATCGTTATAACTAAATGCTTCTGGTGCTTTACCCGTGTCATACTGTACAGTACAGCTTATGTCATAACCTTTAGCACGAATGTATTTATATCTTCTTTCATTGGGGTCTTCCGTCTTCACTTCTTCAGTTCGTGTTAAATATCCATGGTAGTCCGTTATAATCTGTTCGTCTGAAGTTATATAATGAACGTGGTTTTTATCTGCTTTTTCGGCTAATTTCTCTTCTATCTCATTTATTTCAAGTTCATGCCTACCACCACCTCCCGAAGAAGTATTTTTCTTCAGCTCTTGAAGAACGTCCACTTCGCCATCTTTGGTGTCAATAATGAGACTTTGAGTTAAAACCTTTCCTGTCTTAATGGATGTTTGTAAAACTTCTTCTTCACCGTGTTCGGGGTCATGGTCGTCGTCATATCTTGTGAAATCAGAGATGTTGTCATACATTAAGCATATCTGTCTCAAAAGTTCTGCTATTTGAAACTGGAACGAAAGATATACAGAACTTTCATCATCTCCTAAAGTCAAGTCTGCTTTCTTAAGTATTTCTTGAATGTATGCAATGAGAACAGAGTACCTTGGAAAATATTCGAACAATATTTCATTAGCTGTTGGTTTTGGTGGTTCTTCTGGAGTTTCTGTTGTTTCAGTTCCTTCTGTAGGTTCTGTTGGAGTTTCTGCATCTCTTGACTTCAATGCTCTTGCTCTCAAAGACCTAAATGTTAGAGCACCAGGTTTTACAAAGGACTTTATAAATGCTTTAATAGTTCCTGGTAAGTTATTGTTAGCATTAAGTAAGTTCCTTATGCTTCCATCATGTACGTCCATAGCACTATGTAAAAAATCTATACTTTTCTTGTAGTCAGCAATAGACTGACTGTGATTTTTTAAAGATTTGTCAATACCTTTAAGCCAATCTTCATGCATGTCTGATACTGAGCCAAGAATATCATTTGCTTCCTTTAGTGTATTTTGTGCTTTTCGTAAAGTATCCAATCCCGTACGTGCATTGTTTGCTATACGTCTTACAGTATCTATTTGACTCCTTGTTTCTTGCATCCAACCAGATAAAGTTTTAATAGTATCCGAACCATTTGAAATGAAGTTCAAAGCATTTTTAACGTCATCTAAAGCTTCTTCACCAAGTACTGCCCATATCTTTCCGATTTGGTATTGAAGAACTCCATATGAAGCAGCTGTTAAACCAGTATTTATAAGGTCCCATATCCATGATTTAGCAGTTTTTCCATCCTTTCCATCCTTTCCATCCAAACCGTTTTCGCCTTGAGGTCCTTGTATTCCTTGAGGTCCTTGTATTCCTTGTGGTCCGGTGTCACCCTTCTCTCCTTTCAGTTCATCTTTATGTTCGTTATAATATTCTAATGTCATAAGGTGTACATCATTACTGCTACCAGCAACTCCTAATATTTGTTTCTCATTCATGACTAAATTCTTTAGGCATTTAATGTTGTCGTCAAATCGAAAGCTCTTTAACAATTCAATGAGAACATTCAGTACTTTCACTAATGAAGCATCTACTGTTGAATTTATATATTGCACCGTTCCATCATTTATGATGGGAACCTTGCTTGTTGTAATGAATGGGTCATAAGTGTTAAAAGTATCGAAATCAATGACTTTTTTAGTTTTTCCATCGTCAATGACTAAATCATTGCCTTCAATGGTTAAAGTTGAGTTTTCGTTTACTAGTTCATGTGCTCTTCTTGCTTCATTTGTTTCATACGCATATGCAGCAATAGTCATATTTTAATGAGAATAAAATGTTGTTCTATTTGCAAAGTACAGACCCAAACGAATACGGGACAGTAAAGCTACAAACAAACTTAGGTCTTCAGAATGAAGCGCTTGCTTTCAGAGTTGTTGACTTCAATACTATCGCAACTTTTGTCATAACAAATGAAACAGATTTCATGGAGTTTGAAATAGATGGAAAGAAGCATGAAATAAGATTTCACAATAATGTAGAATATAAGATGGAAACATTAGCTGGAGTGTTAAATGCGCTCATAAATACTACAATAAACAAGGAGAACGAAGAAAACTTAATGAATGTTAAACTTATTGCAGGAGTTTTGAAGTTCAGTTATGCGAAGGAGTTTAAGATAACACGAATGAGTCATAGAGTTCAATTGCTTCTGGGAGCATACCATATGACATTTCCTTTGAAAAGTATTGACAAAACGATTGAGATGAAATCTGTTCCATACGTATGTTATGGCAATTGTTTATACATTGAGTCTAAAATAGCTAATGTCACAGGTATTTCAGGAGTTAATAGTAAAGGTTCAGTAGAATATAAGTCTTTCTGTTATGAAGTAAATTCAATGTTCATTCCAAACGTTCCTGTCATAGCAACTCATTTAGGTAAATGGGTTCGCATTAGTCCTCATAATTTGAAAGACATGCAATTCAGACTAGTTGACTTTCAAGGAGAGCCTGTAGAACTGAAGGCACCAGTGCGAATGACTGTTGAAGTAGACTTTTTAGAAAATATTAAATGCAACAGCTTACAAGAGAACTCAGAGCTAAAAATATAAAGTATGAATGTTATGTATTAGGTCATGAACTTTGGTTGTTGCTGTTTGATGAAACAAATGAGTTAGTTATGTCAGTCAAGAGAACAGAAAAAGGCGTCAAAGGCGCCGAGCGCAAAGCGCTATATTGTGTTAGTGAAAACTGCACCAAGTCAATAAGATTAGGTTTGCATTATGAAGATGAGTTCGATACTGTTGAAGAAGTTTTGGATAGATATTACAAATTGCTTTAATTTACTAAAACATATTTCAAGCAAAGTTTTATTCTGTTGAAATTTTGTATACTCGTTCTATATTTATACTTAAACTCAACTCCTGGAGTACCTGGTATTTCAATGATGCGGATGTTACCTATTTTCATGAATGGTGGCGTTTGACCACAGCATTCGATTTCAGGGTCGAGATAGTCAATGACACATTGTTCCCTGTTATTCGTGAGATAACATTTTCAAGGTCCTCCTTTGTTAATTATTTGGTTCTTACTTATAAGATTTGTCAAAAAGCTTCTTATCGTCTTTGAGTAAAATTGTTTGTATAACTGAAGAAGGTAATGGTCTACGTTATCTGAAGGATTTGTTTGAACATTTGTGTAAGGGTTGTCGTTGGCTTCTCTTGAAAGAATTTGGTCCAGTGGTGGATACTCTAACTTAACATCTGATGTAGCGTTAGCGTTTGAAGCTGTGTTTAAATTCACGGATTTCAGCTCTGGTTCTTTTTCTTTCAAACACTCTGAACTATAGTTCTTATATGACATATTGTTTGTCGTTCGTGAGTCAACAATTTGATGTTGGTTCAATTGGAACATTAACGGCACCAGCTTAAGATGGATTTGCTTCTCATTTCATATAGAATAAAAACCTTTTATATGTATGAAATGAACAATATACTCGACAAGGTTTGAATGTAAGCTAACGAATGAAAATATTGTTGAATCACTGAGACAGGTGCTGTGTATAAAGATGTAGAACTACTGAACAAAAGAGCTAAGGGAAGAAGCAGGAATATGAACAAAGGGTGGAAACCTATAAAAATTTATGTCAATGATGGCTCAGGAGGTTCAAACATAAAGTATGCAGAAAGTTATAGAGTTTATGCTCTCAAAGGTGAAAAGCCTTCATTTAAGAACAGCTATTCTAACGCATATCCTCAAAAGCTAACGGATGGGGAAGTGGATGATATGAATGACAGCAAAAATATTAACAGAAATGGCGACAGAGATGCATGGAATTTGTTTACCATCAGTCAGTTGAAGGTTAAACTTTAAAACAATGTTGGTCGTTCCCATGGAATATTTTTGACTTTAATGGTATTAGTCATGATATGAATCTCAAGGTATGAACGAGGAGAGATGAGAGACTTATATGCTTCCCAAATTTCTTCAAAAGGTAATGTTATACCTGACTGTTTCCAAATGAGTTCAATATCATAGCGTGAGAAACCTTGAAAGATAACGAAGTCAGTTATGAGACGTTTTATGTTTAAAGCTAAAAACCTCCATGTTTGCATAAGTATTGCTACAGTTAAATGGTAATGTCTGACTTTAGTAATGATGTTCACTAATGGTGAGTCTGGTTTTGACACTAAACCTTTTCCGGCGAAGTCGTCACAAACGAGCAGAGTATTTGAAGGATACTTTTTGAAGGGGTATTTTGAAAGTTTTGATAGAATGTAGTTTGTCAGTCGTTTCATATCGTAAACTCCTGAGTACTGACGTAAGTGGTGTTTGTCAATAATTCTTTCCATCTCTTCTGAAGTCTTTTGCATTCCTGACTGTATGAACTCTACGATAGCATAATATTTTCTCTTACGTCGAATGTAACGTTGAAGAAATTCAATGAGTTTGCTATCTGGAACTTTAACGACAGATGCTTGAACTTTTGACATGAATGTTTTCGCTGTTGAGTCCATAGAGTCTGAAGTTGCTGATATAATGATTTGGTCATAATATGAATCTTGACCTAAACGCTCTGTTATGAGTATATGACGAATGAGGTTAAATGTCTTACCTGAGCCCATCTTTCCACAATAGAAATACACGCCATTTGAACAGAATTCATAATCTTTGCTGAAAGGAAGAATAAGAGAAGAGTTAAGTTTGTCTGTAGTTTCATTCATGTCTTCATCTACGTCATGTATTAAATGCTTCATTTTATCTCCATTAAAAATGCAAGTCAGAAATATTCAGAACATAGCACCGAGTCTAACTGACAAGAGTATAAAGATATACTATGAACATGTTATGATGAAACCAACCAAAATTCAAGAAAGTCAGTATACTTATGAATATCCAAGACACTGGGTAGAGTATGTAGGAGGTGAGAAAGCTATTGAAATAAGACAAGTTAGAAGTATTCCAGCAGGAAGAACAATATTATTGAAGAACTTTAATGTTTTGAGATATAATGATGAAACAAAGAAGCAAGATAGTTTTCCTGTTGCTGTGTATGTGAACTTAGATACAGGAGATGACATGAAAGTTTTTAATACAAAGCTTCAAACGGTAGTGAGAGAACAACTTACTGCGGAAGGACATCCATTACCTTCAGAAGTTACCATAGCATATAATTTTGAAACAAACTCAATAGATTTTAAAGTCGTCTCTGCAAAGAAGTCAGGATTTACATTTAATGAAGCAGATGTATATTCGAATGAAAACTTCAAAGCTATTGCATGGTTAGATAATGACGATTGCTTTAAGAAAATATTTAAATACAGTGACTCAACGATGTCAATAGATGACCTTCGTGGAATGTTACCATCGACGTTTACAGTAGAAGGTTCAGCAGGATTGCTTACAAGATTGTCAATTGGTGGTATTTGGTCTCGTGAGAACATTGTTATAAAATCCAGTATAAGTGAATTTGCTGAAGAATCTATATTATGTCTTTCAAACTACATGTATTCGCCGCCGAAGCATTATAGTATAACAAACTTTGTCAGTAAGTTTAACATAAGACTTGTCGAACCTTCTTCAATGAAAGATGTTGTGCTACCTAAAGACGGAAAGGATGGACTCATTATTGAGATGATTTTAATAGCATATTAAATGAGCTTGTTCTTAAAGGTCGTTCATGATGAAATAACTGTTGTAGAAGATGTTAGCAATTGTTCAGACATTTTGAAGCGTATAGATGATATAAGAAAGAAGTTAAATAGACCGCAAAGCGGTGAGGGCGAAGCACGTGAGAATGTTTATGTTTCATTGACTTTCTCCAGTAACGAGAACTTTTATGAGATAATATTGAAGAGAGATGATTTTAATATGGGGTAAATGGTAGCTTGGGCAGCTTTAGGCGCAATGGGAACAAAAGCATTAGCATTTGGAGCAAAAGCACTTGGAGCTTATGACGCAGTAAATAAAATGAGTGGAGGAAGGGTTTCAAAGACATTAGATGCAAATAAAGGGAAGATTGGAGGCTGGGTTGCAAAGAAGTTAAGATTAAATAAAATAGGGCTCATAAATAAAGCATCCAATTTGGTTGCGACTGAGTCAGAAAATGCTTTAGGAAAGGACGATGAGTTTGCAAAACACGCAAAAGACTTTAATGACCAGATGAATGGTGAAACAATGCATTTAAATAGAGTCGATGGAACTCTTCCTCCACAACTTCCACCAGCAGTTCTTCCGTATGGTCCCTATGGAATGTATGGAAACCCTTACGAAAGACCATTTGACCCATTGACTGGTGGAAGTAACTGGTATCATTACGGACGAAGAAGAAAGACAGTCAAGTTGGAGACAGACGTGAAGAAAGCAACTAAAAAGAAACCAAGGAAGAGAGTTATAAAGCAATGAATTCAACAGGGTGAAAAAAGAGGTTAGAAAACGTGTTAGATCTAACATTCTAACATAAACATTATTTTTGTGCTATGTTTTCATACGTGTGAGGGTGGTGATATCATTAATTTTTAAGTTTATTTTTATATAAATGTGGGAACAAAAATAAAGCATATCTACTCAACAGGAATGAGACCCTTACTGACTATGTATTCGTTTAATGCTTGATGAAAACAATGGTACATATTATCGTATGGGTATACACAACGTCTGTTTCCATCGTCGTCGTATATGTAGAGCTCAAATCCAGTCCAACCTTCTTTTGTACAATATGTAGCTTTATTTAAGTATGCATTTATGTAGATAAGGCAATTTTCTTCATCGCTCCAGAAATAATTTTTGTTCTTTGTTGAAATAGTTTTCGTTCCTCTACGACCATAAGGAATGTATGCAATGAACTTTGCGTCATAAGGGATTGTAATATATTCAGGGTTTCTTTCATCGTCAATGGGTCTGTCTTTGTTAAAATGCATGTTTCTCAGTTGTACTTGAGTTTTGAATAGTTCACGGAAACGTTCTGGGAAAGAGTCATAGTAAATGTAGTCGGACATGTCTTTGTAATGAAATAAAAAATTTTAAAAAATAAAAATAAGGTTGTTTTTTATTTAGTGAGGACGGTAGTGAAGTCGTTAGTGAAGTCGTTTATGTGTCAGATGGTTTTGTAAATATTTAAGGTTAAGTTGGTGTTATGGTTGTGTTGTAAAATATACGTTACCGGTTTCGTAAAGTGTCAAAACCGCTAAGTGGTGTACGGAGGCGCGCAGTGCCACAGTACGCGACTTAGGGATACTAACTCTCATTAATCCTGCTGTGTTGTCAAAATGTCATGTTGTCTCATTTTTTCAGAGAAGTTAATTAACCTGGTGACATGGTGACATGGACACCTTCAGTTATTCAAAAAATATTCATAAGTGCCTTCCTCATTAATCCTGCTGTGTTGTCAAAATGTCATGTTGTCTCATTTTTTCAGAGAAGTTAATTAACCTGGTGACATGGTGACATGGTGACACCTTCAGTTATTCAAAAATAATTCATAAGTGCCTTCCTCATTAATCCTGCTGTGTTGTCAAAATGTCATGTTGTCTCATTTTTTCAGAGAAGTTAATTAACCTGGTGACATGGTGACATGGTGACACCTTCAGTTATTCAAAAATAATTCATAAGT